ATAGGTTAAATAACAACTTGGGCATTCTAGGGCTTAGCTAGTCACTCATATTGTTAAGGAAAATGATTAAGAACTAATTTTTTTAATAATCTTTTATATAATCTTACATATCATTAAATAATTAATTTTTTGTACTATTAAAATATATGATATTATTTGCATTTATTCATTCATTTAATAACATATAAAAATTATATTAAAAAATTACACAAAAATTATCTCCTTATCATGTTGAAGAATTTTCAAAATAGTTTCAAGATTTGGGTTCGAAGCACAAAAAGTTGGTTCGAAGCAATTGCATAAATGCATTTGAGAAAGTGTAACTTTGGATTAAATCATATAATTATGATTTGAACCATTTACGTAAAATTAGAATCCAAAAAGTTATGATTTTGGTTTGAATCACATTTATATGGTTTGAACCATTTACGTTAGAAATAAGAGATAGAATTCTAATAAAATTCTCAAGGAAGAGTGGATAACTCTGGAAGGCAAAGAAATACGTGAGTTGAAATTCAAATCAAATCAAATGACTTTTGGAAGAGTTTTCAACGAATTAAATTAAAAAGGAACGTCTGTTTCCAACAAATATCTTGCGTCTCTAAATATGGAGTTATATCTTCTTCTTCTTACACTTTTGAACATAGAACCAAATCCCTATTATTATCTAAATAAAAAAACCCCTTTTATACTGCGATTGTTGCAAAAATCTTTATACAAAAACTATTGTTTTCTTGCTTTCAAAAGGATGGTTCAATGGTTGATTTTGCTAGTACAAAGGCTAGATCAATAAGACGCTTCATTGTATTATATGAGTATTTTAGGTTCCTTTTTTTACATACCAGATCTGGTGGTGTGAAATTGGTCTAAAAGAAAGTGACATTTGCAGCACGCCTTGAAGCCAATGATTTATTTTCTAACCCCAATCTCCCACATATCATTCCTCTCTTGTTAATATGGCTAATAGACCAATACAAATTAGTTAGCTTCAAAGGGACTGGGTGCGGAGGTGGCACAGCCGTGCTCTGCTTTCGCTATACTTTCATATTTGACTTTGATATTTGCTTAATGAAAATTTTATCTTTTCATAAAATAAAATAATACAAAACAGGTGCACTAATATGAGGGACGAAATCAGGATGGGATTTGGTTAAGTTATATACTAGAATATATATTAAGAATATACAATTTTCTCATACTTTAGCGGTTTAGTCCTTTTTCTTTTGAGTTTCAGATAAGGTCATGTTTTGTTACCGGTATCAAGTATTCTTTTATCAAATTATAAAATAAATTAAATTTGATATATTTATTTAAGAAGTTAGGAATAGTTGAGCACGTTGATCATTTTCTCTAAAATTAAAAGATTAATGAAGAATGTATATTATTTTTATTTTTTAAATAATAGTATTCCTAGATTCTTTACTAATATAAAGAAAAATTAGACATAATTAAAACTTAGTTATTCTTAACTTCTATAAAAGTTTAGTAATTTTATCTTATTTTTATAATTTGACAAAAGAATATATTATTATTACAACAAAATAAAAAAGTTTTACGATATATTTAATTTGTGAGAATAGGAGGAGAACAATGAAAATTCATCTATTTTATTAACAAAAAGAAAAAATTTGAAGAGGAGAGGAGGGGAAAGGATCAGAATCATTTACTTTATTATTTTATATTAATTCCTTCACTTCCCTCCTCTCTCTCCTCCCTTAGTTTC